CGTGCGCCCCGGGGAGGAGCAGGTCTCGGCCTTCGAGAGGCGGCACTCGAGCCGGAGGCGTGAGCGGAGCAGGGGAAAAATGAAGAACAAAGGCACAAACGAGGAGGTGCCCATGGGTTTCTGCAGGCAGGGCGAGGCGGATGTGGGGACCATGTCTTTGATACTCAAAGCATCTCTTTGCCCCTCAAGATTTGGGGTTCTTGGCTCCCCTGCTGAAGGAGGGATGCTCATCGGTACCCGAGTGGGAAGGATGCTGCTGGCCCCATGCATCCCTGCGGATGCGCTCGGCCTCGTACCTGGGGGCAACCGCGGTTGGCAGCTCGGGTGAGGCTGAAGGCTGCTGCCGGAGGGTCCGGGAATGTGACGGTGGTGGGGCTGACGCCGGGACAAGCGATGGGATGCTTCTCCATGCGGTGCCTGAGAAGTGATGGAAAAGGGGGGGAGTCAGTGTGTGTGGGGCCACATCGGCTCCCGGCAGCCAAGCACTGCTTGGGAGGGGACGTGGCACCAGGGATGCTCAGGTTGTCCCAAGCCCAGCCCTCTCCTTCCACGTCACCAGCTGCCCCCCACAGCCAGAACTCACTCATACTCCCGAATGTTGGTCACAACTCTGGCCACGGCAACGAGGGGCCCAGAGGGGGTGGCCAGGGGAGCCGACAGCCCCCGCAGCAGCACCTGGGAGGTGGCAAACTCATGGTGAGGGGTCAGCAAACGTGGGAGGAAAAAAAACCTGCCCTAAATCAGCACTGACAGCCACCGGAGCAGGAGACAACGTGCAGCAGCACCCTCCCCGAGTCGAGATGCTCTGGTCCACCCGGACCCTGCAAACCTGCCCTGCCACCTCCTGTCCCCAGGGCCACCTCTCACCTCCAAGGCCACGTAGCTCAACCCGTTGCAGCGAGGGATGAAGCTCCCTTTGCGGATGATGGTGACATGTAGGACCATCCCCACAGGGTCCCGTGTCCACGGCTGTTTGCAGAAGAGAGTGAACCGTGGGAGGAGGAAGGGTCAAGGCCACCAACCGCGGGTGCTGGGCACGCAGACAGCCCATCGCTGGTAATAAAGCATCAACTGATAATTAAAGCTCACCGTCCCCCGGAGCCTTCCCAGAAAAGATCAATACAATAAATCCTTCTGCATTTAAATATTTAATCGCTCCCAATCTCTGTGTAGGGGAGAGGAAACTCATTTCTGCCAGCCAGAGCAAAGGGGAGGTTAATCGGGGGGGAAGTTTTGAGTGAGTTTACCAGGTCTCAGCTGTACTGGGAGCTACCAGCCAAGTCCCCGGGAGTGTTAACGTGTTGGGACGGAGAAATGCCCACTGAGGGGTGTGGGAAGCGGCTTCTCGCTGGGGCTGGGTACCCACCCTGCATTAATTAATGCGCAGTGGCTCCTGTTTAACGAACGTTCTGACGTATGGCCTGGCCCCATGTCTCCTTCCCCAGGATGCTGAGGGCGAAAGCACTTCCCAGTTTGCAATCCCATCTCTTTTCCTCCAAGTTTTCCCACCAGGGAGAGATGAAAAAAGCCCAACACAACACCTGCCTTGTTCCCACCTCGCGGGAAGATCACAAGCCTCTTGAGCACCTTCCCCAACTTGCCAAATTCAGTTTTCCCACCAGGATTACGCTGTTACACAAGGCTCCCGTTGCCCGCAACCCCCAGCTACAGCCCGGGGGTGAAAGTCAAAGTTATAAGCAGGAATAAGCAGCGGGATGGAGGGGCAGGCGCCGTACCTACCAGCACCAGCCTGCAATGGTGGGGCGGGCTGGAGGTGCCGCACCGGCAGCTGGAAGGTCCCCAATGCCTCCTTGGTGGCTTTGTCTGCCACGGTGAGAGTCAGGGCTGGCAGGGGAAGGGCCAGCCATGAGAATGAGCGGGTCTGGCCGCAGGGTTTGGGGAAGGGGAGAGCAGGTGTCTGCAAGGGGACCTAATATATGCCTCTAAATATCTGCAGGGTGGGTGTCAGGAGGATGGGGCCAGACTCTTTTCAGTGGTGCCCAGCGACAGGACAAGGGGCAAGGGGCATAAACTGAAACAGAGGAAGCTCCAGCTGAAGATGAGGAAGAACTTCTTCCCTCTGAGGGTGACGGAGCCCTGGCCCAGGCTGCCCAGGGAGGCTGTGGAGTCTCCTTCTCTGGAGATATTCAAGTCCCGCCTGGACGCGGTCCTGTGCAGCCTGGCGTAGGTGACCCTGCTTCGGCAGGGGGTTGGGTTGGGTGACCCACAGAGGTCCCTTCCAACCCCTGCCATGCTGGGATTCTGTGATTCTGTGACGGGGAGAGGTTTGGGGAAGATCTGGGTGAAGCAGGGACAGAGGCGAGGAGTGGATTGATTCATTTTCAGGAGCCCCTTCCCCTCGTAGGTCGTGGTGGGGTGAACTGGGGTGGGATTTAACCCATCCTGGGTTTATCTGCGCACACACACACGCATCTGCAGGAGCCATCGAGAGCACGTCCCAGGCATCCCCAAGAAAGCGAAGCCCATGAGAAACTGGCACCAACACAGCTCAGATTCCCATTTAAGTAGCCGAGACTTTCTGCTGATCCATCTAATCCACCTCCCTGCCTCCAGCCCACCCCGCTCAGCTGTCGGGATCCCACCCTGCCCCGGGGTCAGCTCGCAACCCCATGGGTGGGTTTTGCAGACACTTCCCACCATGGCATCCACGCTCTCAGGGTGCCTGGTCCCCATCTGTCCCCCCGCACCGCAGCATCACCCCCACAGGCGCTGGCACCCCCAGCTCTTCCCATAACTTACAGCAAAGCTGCAATTTAGTTGACAAGCACGAGCAGGAGGCTTTCATCAACAAAAAAAGGAGCTGATGGAAGGGAAAACCGCCCTCTCTTTATGCTGCCAGCAAGACTTGGGCTTCCCTTCCCCCAGCTTAATGACTGTGCCAACGCACCCACCTTAACTGCTGCTTGGCCAACCTGGCAATGCCACAGGTCCTGCGCATCACCAAAATGAAGACGAGGGACCAGGCAAGTGCATGGACCACGCTTTCCTGAGCTCGTGCTTCTCAGCAAGTGCTCTATTTATAATGGAGATTTTCTTTTTCTCCCAGCCCCTTGTGGAAAAAGCACCAGAGAAAATGTCCTGGGGTTGAGCAAGAGACAAGTGGTTTTGCTGCTAGTCGTCAGCGATGACAGCTCGGCGGCCCTGCCAATGGAAAACCTATTTCTGGGCAAGAAAAGGATAGAAACCCTATTTCTGGGCAAGAAGAGGTGCGAGCTGCACCTGGAAATGACAGGTCCGGTCTGAACAGCTGGGGGATGACCATCTCCCAACGTCTGGGGGATGCTGGGAGGCAGATGAGCGGGGCCGGAGGTCCCACTGGGTCTCCCCGCATCTCTCCCGGTACCGCACAGGGCAGGTCCAAAGTACATCAAAAGCTCCTTGTTTTCATTTGGGTCAGGGCCTAATGGGGTTAGGCATGATGTGAAGATTGGCTCCCAGAGTTTGTTTTATAAGGGTTTGATTATAATCAAATCCTGGCCACTAAAGCCACGAGTTTTGTTACAATTGCAGACTTAGCAGCCCTGCGTGGGGATTAACAGCATCATGACGTGGGTCCAACTGATACAAGTTGTTGGGATGGCAGCTGGAAAGCTTTGGGGTGATCACCCCTGATACCGATTCCCATGGGATGCTTTGGAAGATGCCTGGAGCTCAGCATCGACACCTGCAGCACCGCGTCTGGAGTCACAGCCCTCCTGGCCCTACCCTGAAGCCACCACAGCCACGCACAGCTCAGGGCACAGGTTGTCCTCATCGTGGCCACCCTCTGCTTGGATGCTGATTGGGGTCCTTTGGAGCACGGGCTCCCGAATATCCCAAAATTAACCCTTTGAGGAGGTGAGACCTGCATCCCAGTCCCCAGCATCCCTGTCCCACAGTCCTCCGATGCTCTCACCTGCCCAGCCAGCATCTTCAGCATCCATTTGCACTGTCACCTCCTCCTCCCAGGTGGGTGCGTGGGTGGGCACTGACGATGCATGGGTGGCCTGCGCCTCTGGCTTCTGCTCATCCCCTCTGCTGGTCTTACTGGAAGGAAAAGGAAGGCAAAACAGGCTGGTTACCGGATGAGTAAGGGGAATGCATCAGCAGGGAGCTGGGCCTGGGAGAGGGATGAGCACTGACCCTGCTCGGTGCAGCTAACAGCGGCTAGCCCACCACCATTAGCAAAGCTCTGCCCCTGCTCTGGGGGGCCTGTGCTGGGGGTCTGGGGCCGGTTTTACTCCTGGCTGGCAGACCCTGCAGAGCCCCCAGTGATGGGGTTTGCAGCCCATTGTAGCCGAAAGGCTATTTCAGACCCCGGAGGCCAATTACCCGGCTGTATTGATGAAGGGACAGGGAGAAGGCTGCTGGGAAGGGAGAGAGAAGATTGAATGTTAACTACCACCGTCATTAAACTCAGCACATAACGAAGCCGAGCAATAATTACAGTGGCCTTAGTGGCTACAGCCCTGGGTAATTCTTCATCGATGCTGGTGCAAGGCCATCAGCACCAGGGCTGCTTTGGGGTTGTTCCTCCCACTTTTGTCAATTGATCATCAATTACTCATGAGCTTGGCTAATGATAACAACACCGCCCCCCCCTTAGGGGGGCTGGCAGATCTTTTAGGGGGTCTCCACTGCCCAGCGATACACTTGGTGTTACCGGGGAGCCCCAAGACCACGGCAGAGTCCCACCACCTGGTGACCTGGTCCCCTCAAGCCCTCTCCATCCTCGACCACGGGGTGACAGGGGATAGTGCTGTGGCTTCAGGCCAGCATGACAAAGATGCCCCAGCCCTGTCAACGGGTTGCTCTGGATATGAAGATGCTAACATGTCCGGTGCTGGCTCCTCCAGGAAAGCTCTTGCTGGAGAAGAGCCAGCAAGGCTCTTAGGGAGAGGTTACTGGAGCACTGCAGTGAAAGAAATCAGATGGTGGCACTTTGCCCCCCCATCTCTGAGAGAAAGCAGATGATAAAAGTCCTTCCAGATGCAGCATGAGCTCCAGGTACCGGTGGGACCGAGCAGGAGTACAAGTTGGATGGGAGGATGCTCCATGCTCGCAAGACCTCCATCCCCTCTTGCTGCTAGAGACAGCAGTCTAAAGGACCCTCAGCCAAGCTGCGTCCTCTCACTTCTCCCATGTGTCCCCTTCCCCACCGGAGACGCCCACCTGCATCCCGCAGGGATGGAGCCCAGCCGGCCAGCTCTGGCAGGTGGGAATTAGCATCGGGCTGGCACCATTATGAAGGGGCTGGAAGAAAATCGGCTCTCCAGTAATGAGCTCTGTGGGGGATTGGTCTACCAGCAACGTGCTTGGAGTCCGAATGAAGCCAGACCTGGGCTGGGGGGGTGGGAGGAGGAGGAGAGTGAGCAGGGGCTGCTCTGGGCCCCCTTCATTATAGATTTGCCTAAGGACTAGAGAGCATACAAAAAGAGCTGTGAAGTGGGGGGCGGGGGGGAGCGGAAAACAACCCACAACGGTACAACACATGGGGATGTGCTTCAAAATCAAATGAATAGGCCGGGGGCAGCAGGAACGCAGAGAGCAGCGATGGTTTGATGTCTCCTCCTCACCCCACCCAGCTCCAGACCCGCCGGTGGGGCAGGAGGTGGGGTCTCCAGTGACCGGGCGCTGGA